GTAACTACCCAGAGTGTGAAGTATGGAAGCGTGACCAAACCGCCGATCCTTCCATAGCACCATACTTCTTAGTTTGAGCGCTGAATCGGCGGCCGCGTATTTTCCCACCAGGTTTATTGCGGGTAAATTGGTAATCACCTCCAGCGCCTTATTTGGGGTGGTCCTTAAGGCACCCGAAATGCATAGAAACGCTGTTCTTTGGACCTTACTCAATAGTTTTAGGTAACTTGCCTTTTGAGTTGCTGGCCACCATACAAGTATTCCATATAAGAGTATTGGCCTGACCACCGAGGTGTATAGCCAGTGTGTAATACGAGGTGTTAACCCCCACTTGATTCCGACCGCTTTTTTGCATGTGTATAATGCAACGTTGGCCTTCCTTACTCTTTCCTCTATATTAGGTTTCCACGTTAGTTTCCTGTCTAATATGAGTCCTAGATACTTAACATTCTCCTTCAAGGATATCTCCACACCCAAAAAGATTAGCGGGGAGACAATGGGAGGCCTGTGTTTCCTTGTGAAGAGAATTGCTTCGGTTTTCTCGGGGTTTACTCCGAGTCCCCTACTCTCTGTCCAGTTCCTAAGCGTGGCCATGTTAGAGCGCAGAATCTCCATTAGGGTATTTGGGTATTTGCCTTTGACGGCAATTGCCAGATCGTCAGCATATGCTGTGACATGGCAACCCCCCCTCTCTAGTGCCACCAGCAGAGAGTTCACCGCCAGATTCCAGAGAAGAGGGGAGAGAACCCCTCCCTGGGGAGTGCCTCTACAGACCTTTCTGCTTATTGTGGTGTTGCCGAGCTTAGCGGTTACCGTCCTGCTGACAAGTATAGACTCGATCAGCACCGCCACATTCTGGTCAACTCCAAGCTCTTCTAAGGCACCCGTTATGGCGCTTGCGTTAATATTGTTGAAGGCGTCTTCTATGTCTACAAAGGCCACCAGAGCGTACTCTTTGTCGAATAAACTTTTTTCCACCAACCCAACGAGCGAGTGCAAGGCGGTTTCCGTGGATTTGCCTTTCGTATAGGCATGCTGCGCTGGGGAGAGCCTACTTGTTGGTATCACGCCCCGTACATAATCATCCACTATCCTCTCTAAAATTTTGAGAAGGAAAGACGTAAGACTGATGGGTCTGAAGTCCTTAGGGTTGGTATGAGAGGACCTGCCCGCCTTGGGTATAAATGAGACTTTTGTCTCTCTCCAGCCTAGCGGGATGTAGCCCATGTTAAGACAGCTTCTTATAATAACCACAATGAACGGAGAGATAGTACCCCGTGATTGCTGTAGCTCTACCGGGTGTATTCCATCAAGTCCCGGTGACTTGTAAGGACCAAAAGTCTTAATAGCCCATTCAATTTTTTCGTTTGTAATCAGTCGGTTTCCCAGATCAGATAGCCCCCCTTCATTCTGGGGGTCATTAGGTTCCACCGGCTTATTTCCAGGGAAGTGTGTGTCCAGGAGGAGACCTAAAGATTCCTCGCTCGTCGTAGTCCATGAGTTCCCTTGACCCTTGAGATAGCCAAGGTTGCATGGCGACTTTGCAAGAATTCTTCTTAATCTGGCCGCTTCCGTGGTTTCCTCAATTCCCTTGCAGTAACTTTGCCAGGATTTACGTTTCGCATTTCTAACTGCTTTTTTGTATACTTTCAGATCAGCCTTGTAGGCTTCCCAGTCCTCTGCTGCTCTCGTGGCTTTGGCCTTGTTGAACATTGACCTATTAGATTCACGTAACAAGGATAATTGTTTCGACCACCAAGGTGGTTTGCTTTTTCCCCTGTATCGAACAACCGGACACCCGGCTGACAAAGAACTATTCATGGCTTTAGTAACCTGATTAACCAACCCCTCCAGCTCCACCTGCGTGGCGTGGTCTCGGGGAGGTATCTTTGGCAGTAAAGTCCTTAATTTATTATTGTAAACCCCCCAGTCGGTATTTCTAACATTTCTGAACTCCCTTACTTGGGGGGTCTTAAGATCTATTTCGAATTCAATATAACGATGGTCAGAATACGATTTTTCCTTCAGTACTCTCCATCTCTTGATTTTATGGGCAAACATGTCTGAAGCCAGGGTTATGTCCAAAACTTCCTCTCTACTCTTTGTTATGAAGGTCGGCTCTGAGCCTAAATTCAAGACACTAAGTTTGTTCCCTAGAATGAAGTCTAGTAACGACTCACCTCTAGCATTCGTGTCCGTACTCCCCCACATCAAGTTGTGGGCATTAGCGTCGCAGGAGGCAACCAGTGGTTTGTTCTTGAAGGCTGCTTCCTCGGCCAAGGTCCGAAACCCGTCTGGTGGCACGTCCTTGTCATGGGCCATGTAGGCAGAGGCTACCCAAAAGCTGGTTTTGTCCAGCTCAATGCTTGCCACTACCAGATCGCCGTCACTAAGCTGTGGGAGCAGGAAGATGTTTAAGTTGTTCCTTGCTAATATGCAAGCTCGAGTCTTACCTGCATTTTGTGCGGCAATAAGCTTAAAGCCCTTCATCCCAAGTCCGCAGATTTTATTGCCGTGTATCCACGGTTCCTGGATGAGGGCAACGTCGAGTCCACCGGCAGCCAGGCGGACCTCAAGGTTCGCAGACGCGAGTTTAGAGTGGTGGAGGTTGATCTGGATCAGGTTCATCAGAATCTGTCCGTTTTACCTCCACCATCGTGACATCCACGTCCGCCTCTTCGATCTCCTCACCCTCGGTGTCATCGGCGAGGAGGTCTTCTTCATAGAATAATGGCCCCAATCCGGATAGCCTCTCCGAGTCAGATGAGCATTGGCTGCTGGGCAACCCTTCTTCACCACCGCTGCGCAGGCCGGACTTGTCGCTCTCCTCACTAAGGTCCAAGCTCGGCTCGTCGCTGCGGTAGATTCGAATGGTTGCGTCATTGAACCCGAATCTCACCGTCCAATCCTTTTGCGCCAGTGGGGCTAGCGATTCGGCGTTGAGGATCGGCAACACCTGCCTTCTATTCTCTACTGGCTCCTCTATCTTCCCTACCCTCCAATTATGACTTGGCAGGTCCTTATTACAGGATCTGAAGATCCGCTCAATTCTTTCAGGCTCGGCGGGTCTGGCCGGAATCCAAACTCGAGCCCTCGGTCTGCTAGGAATGTCTTCCTTGTTGACGGCCTCGAGCTTGGCTCCCGGCCAAACTTCACCTACCTTACTAACGGCCAACCTATAGAGCTGGGCTGACCTATGGTCCTCGCAGGCGATGAGTTTAGCTCTACCCTGATACCATCCGGAATCATGGCAGAGAGGAGGAGGTCCAGGATTTTCGTCTAGGACTTGGAGGTAGATTTCGGCAATCGCTTCCTCCACCAACCTCCACTTCTCTTTGGGGATAGTCCCTTCCTCCTCCCCTCTGTCGATGATTGCCAGTACCTCACCGCCTCCCTTCACTACGTCCCTGAAAGTGCGGTATTTATGGCCACCTGTTCTTGGTCTTTTGGTGACCCCACCCCCTGCCTGTTCAGCAGACCGCTGCCTTTTTGGAGCAGCGCCTGCCGGTCTTCCCAAGCTGGCTACTACTCCCCTCGCCCACTCCAGTGACCTAACCTGCTCCTCCGTGAGCTGCTCTGTCGGCAGGTCCCCGATCTTGTTCACGACCCTCATGGCCGCCTTTTTGTCATAATAGGCCTGCTTCGAGGGGCGGACATGTTTAGCCGACCCCCCCAGGCCTGTGTTTGCAACTTTCCTCGAGCTGCTCGGAATGTCGGCGGCATCCTGCCGGGTTATTTTCGAAGCAGGTGCCGTACCCCGCCCTTGGGTTGAGGTGTGTGTGGATTGGGGTCTGACTTCCATAGGCGGAGCTGACGCTGCAGCTCCAGCCATGAATCGGTTGGAGACCGGTTTGCCCAAGCCTCCACTCCCCCCTCTGCCTCCTATGGTACTCGTACCAGGACCAGCCCTACCGCTTAAGCCCCCTCTAACTCCTGTCACTGGCGGTCCGATAAATGCCCTGCTCGAGGCTGTAGCATTAATTGGAGCCACCCCTGTCGGTTTTTTTGGAGGGCCGTCCTCCTTGTTGTGTTGTTTTTTTTTGTAGTAAATTGCGCTCATAATTTTGGTCCCACGAGTGTCGGACAATGGAGGTCCGCCCGCACAGAGGTCCGTGTGCGCAGGTAAGGCTTGATAGAACCGGAGGTCGCCAGGTATCCGGAGCACTCCGTTCGAGACTGGGCTATTTGTTAATCTGGGTCCCCAGCCAGGCTGAACATCAGCACGGGTCGTCTAACACCTTGTTCCAACCCAGAGCTTTTTTAGAGAGGTTTGCTCCTCCATTACCTCCATAGGCCACGATCAAAAACCATTTCCATATAACTTAGCTATTGAGGAGCTTAAGCACATAGCACTGATTTCTGATCTTAGCTGGACACCATTCTGACATCGTACAGAACCTAAATTGTAGTGGCCATTACCAGTCGGCACCCTCGTGGAGGGTTCAGCCGGAGGATTTTCGCCGACCATCTATGGGTGAAAAATTTAAATAAAATCAATAACGATGTCGATAAGTATGTATGTATATTGATAAAAAACTGTATCATTATGTATCGATGAGTTGCCAAAAAATATTGAAAAGGTTAGCGAAGTCATTTTGACCAATAAGCTCAATTTATCTGTCAATACAATATCTTTTGTACACTCTCAAAAACATGAAGAATATTATCGAATATTAGAAGAGCTCAACGGCTGAAAAAGGAGGGCGCTATCGTAGATTAAACTCGTATAGCATTTATCTGAGACTCAACATATCGAAAAATCAACTGGAGGCAGTCACAAACTAGAGCCTTCCTCTTGGCTCCATATGGCAATAGTCAGAGCACATAAACTCCAAGTGTCCTGCTAACTGTGGTATTCTACGGAGATACGCGAAATTATTGGCCACATCCGCTCAGCAATGACCTCTTTGACCAGTTATTATTACCAAAAATTTATTTTAAGGCATCCTCAAACACGTTGTCAATCTTTGACACGCAAATCAGATTTTTCCAAAGTCGCTTTGTACTTATAAACCCTCTCAGCGCCTCAGCGCGGTCCACTTAACCTTAAACTAAGGGAAACATACAATGCATGTAAATTAACTTTTTTTTCTAATTTCTCGCAAGGTTAGGCCGGCAAAGTTCATCGAGTAGAGGTCGACGACCTTTATTCCAGGAAACAAAAGTCAGCCTGCCGCAAGCAAGCAACTGTCAGAAGCTCATTACTTCATGAAACAGAAATTCTAAGCAGTACGCGCTGTCATTTCCACCCACTCACTCCTCTTTCGAGCAGCTCAGCTCCGCAGTTGATGGTTAAAAATTAATTTCGGCAACGGGTTAAAGTTGAAACTCATTCATTCGCCAAAGCAACTGGAAATGCTGAAGAATCATTTCACTACGTTCAACAAATGTACATAAATACATTCCTATTGTATGTATGTATGTATGGCGTACGGGTGAGCGAATGTGTATGCGCAATACGGCAAATGAGGCAAAGGTGAAAAAGTGGTAAAATGGTGAAAATAAATTGAATTGGATAGTGCCCCGCTACCGCTGCGATCATCACCTTCGCGCAAGAGAAATGCGGCTGCCAGCCGCTGGTTTGTGTGCAGCGTTGCCGCTTTGGAATTTTTTACCAACACTGGTAATTTTTTTCATTTTACAGGTCTAATCTGCTCGTTACGGAAAATCTTGCAACTGGAAACTTTTTTAATACCAAGAAATGTTACCAGTTCTTGTCACCGCCATTCTAGGTACGTCGGTAATGCTGTTAAAATATTCAGCAATTCAGCTATGAAGAATTGTGGAAATTTTGGCATTGCATATTTCACAGGGCAATATTTTGTTGCCAGCGTATGACATGGTAACCAAATTTATCGGTTACAAGAGGACACAGAATGCGAAAAGGGTTTAAAAATTGACAGGAACTTTATTTAACGGTTACAAAATTTTTATTGCCAGCGCAGAATAGACCTGTTAGAACGAGTTTGGTAATTTGGTAGTTTTTTTTTTCAATGTGGTAATTTTTTTCAACGTAAGTATTTTGTTTTAAGTATTTAATACTAACTTATTACTTATAAAAATTTTATAACTTTCAATCTTCTTACAATTGCACAAAACAAAACAATTTGCTTATGTACTTACATATGTATGTGTCTACACCTTAAGAGAACCAAAAATTGAAAGGGTTTTTTAATGTAACAATTTGCCTTGACAACTCAGAACTTTTAGTATGAGTTCGCAATATAGCAATTTAAGGAGACCACCCATTTTTCCCAATATGACAGCTTGATCATAGCCCCTGCAGTCCCACAAATCAGGGTTTTGGATCATTTTTACCTGCCGGACCCATTGGTGAGAGAACACAATTTCACAGGACTAATTTAAATTTTGCGGTTAAATACGAATGTGACGCATTTATAAAATTATAAAAGTAAATTTTGTTTATCGTTTAACGATACATTTGCTGATTTCATGTGTTGGTTTTAAGTTATGTAAAATACTTTATGTAAAAGATATAAAAATATCTGTCGTTATTCTTTTTTTAGAGGTTTATTATTTTTTTTTTTTGAGGTTTGGTAAAAAATTAAAAATCATTGTGGCAACACTGTTTGTGCGTCGCCTTGATTGGCGTTGAATTCGAAAATCAACTTCAGCAACGATTCAATCGAACTAAATTGCGGGAAAACGTTTGAAAAGCGCTCTACGTGAGTTGAAGGTGAGCGTGAATGTGTTTTTGTGTGTGTTTGTGTGTTTTTGGGAGAATAAGAGCAGACGCAGGCGGTCGAGTTGAAACGTACATTGATTTTTGATTACGTTTACGGAAAATCGCAAAATGTTAACAAAATTGTTTAGGCGCCCAAAGTGAAGTAGTGCGCTGCAGCGGCGGCAAACGAACGGGGCGTACTGAATGAGATGCGGAGATGTACACAAACGCAGGTGAATCGGTAATGAAGTTGAATATGATGACCACGAACGTACGCACCTTACATACACACACAGCTAAAAAAACAGTTTGAGCGAAACGAAATAATGTGGGAGGAAAAATACCTGCAAATGGCGTTGAAACTCAAGAAAGCACTTGTGTAGGAATGGGTAGACAGCTAAAAGTTTTGTGAAAGTTTTTGAACGAAAAGTGAATTCGTTTATTGGAGTGAGAGCTGATGAAGGGGTTGACGGCATACAGGTAGAAATTCGAATGCGCATAAAGGGGCAAATAAATTGATGGGATGGAACTAATCTATATGTATATCTAGCAAAAATGAAATAAGTCAATATAAGATGTACGTATGTAAGTACAAGTACATACATATGTATGTATAGGGTCAATTAGAGTAAGAAATATCAATATTTTCATTAGATGCAGTTTTAGTATATTAAACTTCCCGAATAACTTCGCCTAGTACACAACAATATCCGAAAAGTCCGTTAAAAGAGATAGGCCCAAAAATTATACAAATATTTGTTAGTTTTATGAAGTTTCGAGCAATATTTTTAAACAGGCTTTTACTTGGTTTGCTAAGATTTTTTCGGGCCCATATATCATTAAAATGGAATTTTTTGTTGATGAATACAT